AATGGGTGCTGTAGCCCTGCATCGCCTGGCTTTCCCCTGATCCCAGTTCCCATGTTCACCAGTGGGAGGAGTGGCCCAGCACAGGAGACCCCAATGTCCCTCATGCCTCTGCCACCCCCCATCCTGAGTCTTATGTGTACTGGTCGGAGCTGCAGCCCAATTTGGCATGGCCCGCCTCACCTTGGCATTTGCTGGCAGATGCCATAGCCTGGCCTGGCTTGATCTGCTCCTACTTCCGGCTCATTCTGTTGAGTACTGCAGCCTAGCCCAGTCCAGCCAGTCCCCAGTGCCAGCCTTAATGTGGACTGGCTACTGTTGCAGCCCAAATGAGCCGCTCCTGCACCCTGTCCTGGGTTTCAGTTATGCTAATGGGCATTATAAACTGGCGCAGACTAACCTTTCCCAAATCTGACCCACATATATACTGGTGGATACTGTAGCCTGGTCTGGTCTGGGATGCTCCCAGCCTTGGTACTTGTGCTCACCTGCAGGAATTGCATCCTGACAAAGGAGTTTCCCAAGCTCTGATATTAGGTCACCTCCACACTGGAGATCTCATGCACACTGGTGGGTCCTTGGCCCATCCTGAGTTAGTCTACATCCTTTCATGGCAGGAACAGCCGCAGCTTTCCCTGAATGACACACATCCATTCACATTCTTATTGTTTCGTGCTATAGCCCAGCCCCATTTGGCCCATGCTGGACATAGCTCTCACATGGTTCAGCAGATGCCAAGACCTGAGCCAGATTATCCTATACTCACCCTGGCTACCAGGAGCACCAGTGAGTACCGGAATCTAGCCCAGTCTGGCACACCCCAGACCAAGTCCACAATCATACCTAGGGGCATTGCAGTCATGTCCAGCCCAGATTGCCACCCTCATTCCAGCTCTTGCGTTCACAAGTGGGAACCACAATCTAGCTGGGGCATCCCCTTAGCTCCCCAATCAGGCCTGCTCCCAGCCATAGATTTTGTGCATATCATTGGTTGCTCTGACCCAACCCAGCATAGCCCAGCCCCTGTCTTGGCCTTTGCCATCTGATGCTTCATCCTGCTGGCCTGGCCTCCCTCCAGTCTCAACTCCTGCTGGTGTGTGCTACAGCCTAGCTCTGCCCAGTCTACCCTCATCCCTGGCTCATGCAAACTGGTGGGTATGATACCCTAGCCCAGCATGACCTGCACTCCAGCCTGGCTCCTGCACATGCCAGTGGGCTAAGGATAACCCCTGGCTCTGCCCAATCCACCCCTACTCACCCTCCTCCAGAACCAACCTACACACTAGCTGCCAAGTGGAACTGCCTTGCCTGGCCTGACGAACACATAAGCCTGAATCACATGCTCACGAGCAGGAGCTACAGCCCACCAGGGGGGTTTCCCAAGTTCCCTCACCAGGACCACTCCCAGACCCAGATCTTACATGTGCCAGCATGTGTTAGGTCCTTACCCAGTCTTCCTCCTCTTTCTCGGCCTTTGTATGAACTGGTGGATGTTGTGGCCTGGCCTGCGCCAAACCCTATTCTTGGGTTGCCTGCGGGTGTTGCAGCCTGGACCAACCTAGCCTGTTTCCAACCCCATTATGCACGATTGTCAGATTGTCAGAGGGTTCCATGGTCATGGAAGCTCAGCCTTTCACTACCTCCAGCTCTTAGCAACCCAGTGGAAATTGAAGTTCCACAGGGGTGAGCACACATAACCCCAACAGAATCTACTCCTAGAACTGCCTCTCTCACATGCTGGTTAGTGTTTTGGACCAACATAATCACCATTCCTTACTACAGCACTCACTGACATATAGTGTGACCTAACCCTGCCAGTCAGGTCCCTGATTGACGGTGATCAATTGTTGTCCATGCTGACTAGCCTAACTCTGGTCTCCCACATTGACTGGTGCATTGATCTGACCCAGAAAGGTCCTCCAGTTTCCACCCTCCAAATCTCTCAGTCTTGGCCCCCTTGCTTACCTGCAAGTACAGTGGTTTTGTCGATGGAAATCCCTCAGAAGTCATTCCTCACCAGCAACATAGTCCCTTACTCCAAGCCCGGTGAATCGGCACACCGATCGGCACACACACAGCATGCTAACCTAAGGCCCCTCCTTGCCTCAGCCCATGACCAAGCATGTGGGGAAATTCCCAGTATGCTCTGCCTACCTGAGTGTGAGCCCCCAGGTCCCTGTATGTCTCCATCAAGGCCACCCCAGGCTCCCTGCAAGCCTGCACTCCCAAGCCCTCATAAGCCTGCTGGCGCAGGCTCAAAGGTATGTCCCTGCACCTGCACAAAGGCCTATCTTTGTTATTTAAAATAATTGTATAAGCTTCCCCATTTCCCCTTTTCAGCCAAAGTATGAGATATAAGTTGACAGGTGATCAATCCTGAGTGTACATCTCAATCACTTCTTTTTTCTTTTTTAAAGATTTATTTTTATTGAAAGGCGGATATACAAAGAGGAGAGATAGAGAAGAAGATCTTCCATGCAATGATTCACTCCCCAAGTGAGCGCAACAGCCGATGCTATGCCGATCTGAAGCCAGGAGCCCAGATACTCTTCCAGGTCTCCCACATGGGTGCAGGGTCCCAAAGCCTTGGGCCGTCCTTGACTGCTTTCCCAGGCCACAGGCAGGGAGCTGGATGGGAAGTGGGGCCACGCCCACATGGGATCCCGGGCGTGCAAGGCGAGGACCTTAACCACTGCGCCACCGCGCCGGGCCCCATCTCAATCACTTCTTACACACTGACCACCATCAACACTGTTTTCCCAGAAAATCCACATCCCCAAAGTTAACTGCTAGAGTCCTACCATCATAGATTGGCTTTTCCTGTCCTGAACATTATACAAAACCTTATGTTCAGACAATATATATCGCTTTGTGCCTGGTTTTATTCATTCAGCATTCATGTGGCATAATTCATTCATATCATATGTATAGGAGTTAGTAGTACATTTTAACTACTAAATAGTATTCCTTGTACCAATGTTTAATTTCAAAATTTAGCTGTCTGTTCAAATGATGGTGGGTTGATTTTAGTATTGGATTATGCTGCCAATATGCATTCTCACATGTCTTTGGTTAAGGTTAAGCATATCCCTGAGCTTGGATGTTTACAAAGAATCATTTAACTTTTGACGTAGCTAAGAATTAATTCACTGATGCCAAGTGGGATGGCAGGATTTGGCAGGGAGGGTAAAATCACATGTGATGTTGGAACGTAAAGCAGAGATTATGAAAATTTGCACAGCGTTGCACAGCATACACTTTTGAGCTAAATCTTTGAAAGTATGGTTGGGGCAATGCCCTTTAAACAGAATTTACAAGCTCAGGGAGCAAAATGTAGAGGTATTCCTTATTGTGCATAGGAATTACCCGGAAATCTGTCCAAACGCAAATTCCAATTTTGTAGGCCTAAGTGATAAAGGAGATCGTATTCTTGTATTTCTACCAAAGTTTCCCAAGGTCAATGATATTGTCAGTTTGTACACCACGTTTTAAGAATCTAGGCTGGGAAAATGTCATGAGCAAAGTGGCCTGAAAGCTGGTCTTGGAAACCTTGTATTCATAGAAGAACAAGGAAATACTTAGAGCAGTTAAGAAACGTGTACAAAGGCATATCACATAGCCACTAATTGGCACAGCCAACGATACATCCATATCTCTGTCTGACACAGTCATTCATCACCAGCGTGCAGACACCAAGGTGCCTGTCCACTGATTCTTTAAGCTCACATGACATACAGTTTCTTCTGCTTTGAAGTAGTTTACTTTGCCGTGTCTAACAATGTTATCCTATGCCTGTCTTATCACTGAATTTTGCGAACAGACTATTTTTATTTCCTGAGTTTTTGAAGGTTCACAGATAGAGAGCAAATGTGTCAAGATTAAACCCAGGATTTCATCTTTGGCTGCTTGAGATGGTTTGGGATGCTTGATGTTGAGCCTTGGGATGTGGAAGTTATGAAGATTTAGATGAGATTCTGGATTGAGTTGATGCTGCAGTGTGTTGGTCCTCTGGACAACATGTAGACGCGGTATGTCTACTGTGTGTGTAGGATAGATATGAGCTTTTGAGGCACAGATTGTCAGCCACACCCCAAAGATGTCCATGTCCTGATTCTCAGAATCTGAAGGTAAAATCATTCAGCAGAGGGAATTAAGTCAGATAGAACTAACTTTGCTCCTCAGGTGACTTTAAATAGACAGGCTATTTTAGACTGTTCAAGTGGCCCAGGGATTTAGCAAGGCCATTCATTGCACAATTAATGATGGCAGAAAGGGACCAGAGAGGGCAGAATGAGGACTAGGCTCACTGCTGCTGACTTTGAAGGTGGAGAAAGAGGGTCACCAGCCAAGGGTACAAGTGGCAAAAAAACATAGAGAAGCAGTACTGCCTCAGGCCCCTCAGACTGCACCCAGCAGCCACAGGAAATTGAGAGAAACCCTGTTCTACGATCCACTGTTTTAGGATCTTAAATTATTTCCTTTTGCATTCCTTAACATCATATACATTCAAAATAAGAGCTGCTGTGAGGATAAAAATGAAAAACTAGAGAGGCTGGCATACAGGTGCATGATAAATGTGAATTTCCAGTTTTGCTTTGTTTCTGGCTTGGGGAAACACGAGGAACGCAGGAGCCATGTGCCACTCTCAGTGGTCCACCCTCATTCTCAGATGGGAGCTTTGTACAGGACTCCCTGGGTGAACTTCCCAAGCCACTTTATCTCAAACACTGGTTCCTTATCTATCTTTGGGGGGACCCACAGCTGTAGCAGTCTGAAGAAAACCCCTATTAGCACACAAAGCTCTTTTTAAGGAGCCTCACTGGGCAAACAGGCTTTCAGAGATGAAACAGCAGCTGAGCTGACAGTATCTACACTACAGCTGCCATATTTCCCACGGCAAGCCATGGAGCGGCCAGCCTCCCTTCCCACAACTTCCCCGCCGCCAACCCCACTCCCTCACCCCAAGATCCTCCAAACATCCCAGGCTTGCAATTCCTTAATTAGTTGTGTTATGAGCTTTTATTTAAAAAGCACATTTAATACAAGTATAGTTTCGCAGATACAAGTTTTCACTTTGTATGCTACAAAAGTCTTTGAATATTATTCTCTTTACAAAATGCAACCTTACAAAAATACTGACAATTTAATGTTTTTATACAGTTTTCTCTAGTTGTAGTTATTCCTTTCATTGTAAAACAATGTCTACCACAGAACTACATTTTAGTTGATATTAGAGAAAAAAATTAACTCAATGCTTTTTTAAGCAGCTAATGTAAATAACACAGGTCGAAACACAGTTTATAATCATAGTGGATATAGCTAAAATTGTTTCAGAAATAATATTTTACATAGTTAACTTTTAATGTTTTATACATTATTTATATAATATTTATATATAAAAATCATAGCTTGCTAAAGTTGAAATGAAAGGACGGAGGATTCTGGAGTAAGGATGTGCATGTGGTTGATCCATGTGGTTAAGTGTAGCCCTTTGAAAGGTTTGCATCCGAGATCTAAAGGCATTTCTTCCTTTTTCCTTCCCTCAACAGTTCAGTAGAAGGGGTCCCCATCTACCATCTGGGTGAGACCTTGCTCGGAAGGGCACTTACGGGTAGAGAATGAGGAAAAGTCTCTGCGGAGGTTTAACCCATGTGTTCTGCCCAGCAGAACCCACCAAGAACTGCCTCAGGGCTCAACCCGGAGACAACAGTGCTTTACACAGCTTAGCAGGAACAACTCCCACCAGTTCCTTGTCAGCTCCCATCCCTTGCAGGGCAGCCTCTCAGGCACGAGACTGTCAGCTAGCCTGGCTCCTTCTGACTCTAAGCAGCCGCAAAGTCGGTTTGTTTTCCATTCTGCCCCTTTCCTTCCCCCTTCCGTGGTACTGCAGGCTGCGTTCCATCAGCCGGTGGCGGCACATGCCTTTGCTCATCCAGGAAACCATGGTAGGCAAACAGCAAGAATTTTGAGGGAGAAGCAGTGACACGAAGTCTAACCGGTTCTAAAAATGTGCAAGTGCCTGGCGACTGACGTGCAACATCAGCATCCTGCAGTCAACATTTCAACAGCACGGGATGATGCGTCAAAAGGAGACAAAGGAGGGCCCACGGCCTCGGTTTCTTCAGAAATTGTGCTATTTGCAAAATCTATTCATCCACAAAGAGTCTCCTAACCTCTAGCTCGGGGACTGTGCTTGCTGGCCTGTGGGTAGGGGTTGGGGTATAAGAAGGCCTTAGGACTCAGAGTCTAAATTGGAGATCTGATCACTTGACTGAGCAAATGTGCTCTTATTTTATGCTTAAAAACATACACACACACACAGACAAACAAAGCATCCTGAATCAAAGTCACAGTGGAGAAGAGTGGGGTGGACATAGAGATGCATGAGGGGAGACCCCTCAAAGGCTGTCTTCTTGATTCAGTGCTCTCTCTGGTGTGTGTACTGTGGTGTGCACTCTCACTGTAGACACAGGCCTGGGATCTCTGGGGTCACCAAAGGTCACCGACAGACTCTGCTCGAACTGTTTTCGTGTTTGTTCCTGAACTAGCTCGTGTTCACTAGAACATGAACACTTAAGCCAATTGCACATCCAGGATGCTGGCACTTGGGGTTAGTTTGCTGCTGTTTCCTCATAGGTGAACACTACCTATTTTGAAGGCCACAAATAAGATTTTTTGTTTTTGTTTCTGTTTTTCTTTTTAAAAATCAAGTTGGGCAAAAAGTTTTTTTCCCTACATTCTACTGTCTGATGAGATCGGAGAGCAGCAAGAACTTGCTGGCAGCAGTCATTTTACAAAAACAGCTTAGGAGGTGGCAGCACCTACACCATGTTGTGGTGATTGTTCCTGTCAATAATATCAACAGGGGACAGGATCTCCTTCCTGATGGTGGCAGGAGGCAGGGACAACGTCTTGGTCTTGAAGAGGTCGGACACGAAGAAAACCTAGAAGCATAAATCAGAGATGCAGATCAGCAATTGACCTCCAGTGCTGGGACACAGGCAGAGACAAGGGGGAGGTCAGAAGAACACAAACTTTGGGAAAAGGGAGCGTCACACCACAGATCTTTAAGCAGGGAAGAGGTCGTGTGGTACAGTTCTCACTGAGCAGGAGGACAAGGGGTAGCATCCACAGGTGGCATAACCACAGGAGGAGCAGAACCCAGCTTCATGGACTCTCAGGCCAGTGCCCCTCTCCCACTCCCCTTACTTTTCAATGCAAATGGCCAATGAGAGTTAAGTCAGTCATAGTTAGTCACAGTCATTAACCTGTTATACTTTCACTTTCCTCACAAAGAAATCCAGGGTATAACCAACCAAGACCAGCCATTATGAATTCCTATCACCAGGAGTTCGGTAAGGAAGCAGTGGTGGACATTCTTCCCCCCTTGAAAATCCAATGACATCAGCCAATTGTTGGGAGGGCAAAATGCCAGTCTCATTGCTGAGGGTCAGCAGCAGCTCACCCAGCAGCAAGGTCAACAGTAAGTCTCCTATGGCTCATCCCCAGCATCCTGCCACCTCCTGGGTATCAGACCCCACAAAGTGTCTCTTAGAATCACAAAAGATTTAATGAAAAATCCTTGCAGGGTTATGAGGATAGCTCAGGTATACTTTCTTTCTTAATGTGTTTATGCAGAAAGTTCAAGAACTTGATGAGTTATTTGAGTAAGAAACATTCATGCTTTGCATTGGATAGAAAAATAAACCCACACTAAACTTCACCTCCCCGGTTGCCTTATGTCCTATTGTATGAAAATGATGTTATCATCTGACAGGTGCAGAGACAATGTCTTTATCTCTACCAGAAAATTATCCTCTCTTTCATCCTTCGTTTCTTAGGAAAAGATTTTGATTACCTGCCCTCTCCCCCAGTAACTGGCTCTCAATTGTACTTATTCCAGTTTTGCTAGATTCATGAAAGAAAGGCTCTTAGAATCTGAATTTCGTAGAGATCTTTCTGCTAGATTCCAATCCACCTGCTAAAAGCAAGACAATTCCCTATTCCCAACAAACACCTCCTCTGTCCAATCTCAAACCGCCTACCATGCCTTCTTCTACTGGCTTATTTCCATTCTAATTTTCTAGGCTCATGTTCACTACATACCAGAACTCACATTTCCTAACTTACTAAGAGATAGAAATAATACATATGTTAAATGTAGTAATGGATTTGAGGCAAATGAAACTTATAATTGGTATATGGTTCAATCAAAGACATTCCTTTTTAAAAAAATGTTGACATCAAAATAATTGTTAGAACAAGGGTATACCATGCATCCTAAACTCTGCTTAAAGGACTTTCTTCTTTACTCAGAGGCTTCTAGAAGATGCAGCTATAGTCCTTGCCACCCACAAACTCAGCCTTGAGCTGTGTGCATCTCAGGAGCTCCATAAATGCTTGGTGTTGGATTTCTAAACCTCTCTTTCCGTACTAGAAAGTATGTGGTCTGGACTTCATTCTTACTGGTTCCTTCAACTCCTTGGGGCAACCTAAGGGCAACCCTGGGAAACACCACATACACACAGGCTGGCGGCAAGATCAAGAGTTGAATCAGGTCCTACAGAATGCCCTGTGCTGCCTTTCACTTTCAGCTTGAAGTTACACAAACACATTTTTGGGAACATGAAACCTGATCCTTTGAAGATTCAAATAGGCTTCAATCTTCCTAATGCTTGAATAGCAGAATACAGAAGGGACTATGGAAAAGTAGAGCTCCCTGGCTTGGCGCAGTTCCCTTTCCTCCCGAGGAGTACCTCCACCCAGAATGGAAACAGCAGCCCAGGCTGGGGAGGATCAGTGCAGACCAAGTAGCTCTCTTCTGTCTGTGGAACAAATGCACCGCCCTCCCACAGTCCAACTCCACATATCTTCTCTGCCAGATAAGCGATTATTTAAAAAAATAAATACAATCTATGCACAGCAAAAGGAATCTGTTCAATTGCCTGGGGCATTTGATTTCAGTTCTATTTCTTCAGTTCCTTCAATTTTATAAATTACTTGTTTTGAAAAACAATAACAAAAAAAAAAAAAACATGACTGTCATCAGGAAACAGCCTTTTTCCCTCCATGAGCCTTACAGGCCAATGAGGGAGATAGTCAGCTCACACACACACACACACACACACACACACACACACACACACACACACACACACACACACAGTGTTGGAAGCTACATGATGGAGAGGCACAGAAAATGTGACATCTAACTCAAGCTGAAGGGATGAGAAGCGGACCTTACTAGCCTTGCCCGCAAAGGATTTACACGTGAGCTTAGTCCTGAAGGATGAGGAAGACTTTAGCCAGATGGTAAGTGCAAGAAGGGAGCCAGTGCGAAGACCCAGGAGTGAGAGAGGGCAGCACATTCAGTGTGGGGAGCTCAGGGAGGTTGGAGATTACGGGAAACCTCCTAGGACATGGTGAGCAGTTCAGACCTCACCCTTTCCATCTTAGGAGTAGTTAAAATTTGGGGTAACTATACCAGGGAGCAACGAGGAAAGTTCTGCATTCTTCTGCCTTCTGATGTCTTGGCTCTTTCTCAAAGTGCCTTGAGGAAATGTGCTGACCTCCTGCTGAGTCAGAACGGCAGGCTATCCAGAGATGTGAGGACAGAAGATGGTCTAGTCAAGCCCTCTAGATAGCATAGCTCTTCCCTCAAAGCAAGACTGCATACAAACAAGGCACCACTTTGTGACAACAGGAGCTCCATTCCCTGTGACAAGCAGGTGTACAAATGGCTCTTACTGCTCTGGCAACACCACATCACCAACCCCCACACCCCATTCAAAACTCACAGTGGCAGGAGAAAATGTTGCTCTTTCAAGGACAGACCAGTCTCTACATCTAAATTTTGCCATTTTCAGCAAAATATGTAGGTATGAGTCATGATATCTATCTCAAGAGATTACTGTAAGGATTGTAAGATGGAATAAAAGGCACAAGTATGGCACAGTGGCAAGTGCTTCAAAAGCAAATCAGAAAAATTTCCACTGACTTGCGTGTTCTGGGCATCCCTACACAAAACTACTTCTTTTCCTCTGCAACTAACATGCCAAGAGAAGGATAAGAATTAGCGAAAGTAAACTCACAACAGGAATAATTGAGAATGTGAATGAATGTATAAAAGCAGACACCAACTCAAGCTGGATACAGAGTCCATGTGGATGTTCCTACTGGACAGTTAGTATCTGCTTTTTGGATCTTACAATTTTTAGGGCGGTTTTGGGGAATGGTCAGCCTTTACGTGCTCCAGAGATGTCAGCATGCACAGCTTATTCTGTCTTACCCAGAACGATGTCCCAAAGAGTTCCGAAGCCAGAGGACGGCCAAAAGTCAGGCTTCTACTTTCTTTGTGGTGAGTGGCCAAATCAGCAAATTTTGAGGGTCATTTTTGTTAAGGGCAGATTATGACAACAAAATTGTTCTCCAAATGCTTCTTTGGACACTGAGTGTTTCAACTCATGACTGTGTAAGTAAACTCTTGGAAGATCGGAATCATACCCACTGAGGTTTCTCTAAGCACCTGTTAAGCTTAGCTGTCAGCATGCGGCTGATAAGTATAAAAGCAAAAACATTTAAGAATCCAAGAAGCATGTCTTAAAGTGCAGTCCTCAAATCATCTGTTTCAAAATCACCTGGATATTTCTTGAAAAAAGCAAATTCCTGGGCCTCGCTCTGCCTTACTGGGAGAATGTCCTAGCATCTACATTTGAAAACCACTATGGGTGTTTGTCACTCAGGGACAGTCTGAAGATGAACAGATGGGCTCAACTTCTTGCTGTGAGCCTTAGACAACATGGCACCTGCTGGAGAGGAGCTTCACTGCTGTATCTTGAATACCAGGATGCCTTCCTTGAGCTGCCCTTACTCCTGTTTCTGGTACCCAGGCTGAACTTGCCATGACCTTGTGCCTTCATGCTAGCCCATAGTCTTTGATGTGTTGTGCTTCAAGTGCTAGATCATGTTTCCCACTGCTACTGCAGGGCATGGATGGTGTTGAGTCATCCCCCTACTCAGAGCCCAGAAATTACAGCTCTCGGTATAGCTGGTACATCTTCCATGTGTGTAGAGAGACCACGGCTACTGCTCCTGTTGCATGTGTTCCTATGTGCCCTGGCTTTGGGACTTCTTTTTGGTTTCCTGGTCTACCATACTGAACAATTTCACAGATTAAGTAAAGAATAACTTTTTTTGGAGGAGAAAGCTTTGAGAATTGGCTCATTCTCATGCCCTGAGTATAGTAAGTGTTGTCTAAAGGAAAGTCATCTTTGGTAATTTTGCCTTTTGACTAGAAGAGGTTACTCAATTTTAATCACCACTTTTTTGACCTCAGTAAACGGGTTTCAGTGGCTTTTGCTACTGGGGATTTGCCAGAGTCTGTGTTGACTGATTTCCTAACATATGTTTGACTGGTTTGGGTACTACATGAAGGGTAGTATACTATACAGAGCAGCAGGTTCTGATCCCAAAGTTACTTCTCAGGCCACCTCAAACTTTGTATGTGTATGCATGCTGCTACACTTGATCTTAGCCAAAAGGCTGAGAAGCGATTATGTATGCTTTATGTGTCTTTTAGTCACTCAACCTTCTATCCAAAAATTATGTAACGAATGTTCATCTCCACCTCACAAACCAGGAAAAGGTGGCAGACAGGTAAACTGATTTGCCCAACAGGCATAATCAGCAAGTGTCTGGAATACAACACACCTTTACAAGTCTCTCATCGTTCATTTCATTCATCTCAGCATGACAACAAGACAGGAGAAGAGAGGCACCTGGCCGACTACGGAGCAGGGCAAAGATGCTGTCATCATTTATTAGAGGTCAAAGTTGATCTCTGACTTAGCTTCTTTCTTTCTCCCACATCCCTGCCCATCTCAGTGAGTGCCTGTGGTGGCAAGGCCAGGGTCCACTGAGCAAAGGACCAAAAGGGATTTGGGGA